CCTCCGCCCTGCCCCCGGCCGGGGCTGGCAGCGGCCGAGGGACGTGGCCCCTTCGGGAGCGTCTTTTCTCTTTCTTTTTTTTTTTTTTTTCCTTTTCCCTACCGGGAAAATTGTGCTGGGAGAGCAAATTTCTGAAATATCTGGCGCTTTATTTTTTTTTCCTTTTTCCGTCGGTACTGGCAATGGCTCCCTCTTAACCAGAGGAGTCTGGAGGCGTTTATAGAAAAGCTGGTGGACGCTTTTCGTTTTCAAAGCCAGAGTCTCCTGAAGAAATATGAAACACTTCTCAGTAATGAAAGACATGTGTTCGGTGAGGGAAACTTTTCCCCATTTGTGTTGTAACGCAGAAGGAGCAGACGTGAGGGCTAATATTTATGAGGAAAAGGTGACTGTTGTACTAAACTGTTCAGTTTTGGTTCTGCTGCTACTTTACAGCAAAAGATTCTTTCAGGTTCTTCCCATTCCAGAACATCAGTTTTATAATTTACAAAGTGGTGGTATTATTGTGCTACTTACTGCTCATCTGAATGAAAAACAAAGCAACATATGTCTAAAAGAACACAGTTTTAAAAGCATGGACTTGCTACAGGAACAAGTCTAAGACATCATGCTACTTAAAGTTCACTCTGAAACTGGCCAGGCTTAAGAGGCACATCTTTTAAATAATATGAAAATCTCTGTCTCGATATAAATAGACATCACACTTGTTAAAAGGAGAGAAGGTTATGTGGCTGCTTTTTTTCCCTGTAATTGCAAGGCTGAATTGCAAAGTAGCTTTATAGCCATGAGAATTATATGTGGGAACAGAAGAAACTTCTTAAACATTATGTTTAATGTAAACCTCACTTCAATCAACCTGAGGTGTTTGGAATTGCTTAATGATCTGCATTATTTGTATAGTCTCATGTGTGCTTTTACAGGTACTCACTTTAGACGGTAAACAGAAATTAGAGCAGTTAATTTGTGTTAAATTCTGAAGTTTTATTCCCTCTCCCCCCAGCGCACGCTCCCTGGAAAGCTTGCCAGAATAATTACAAAAACAACTCATTTGACCACATTTCCTCTGATACTTTTAAATTGCAAACTGAAATAAAGCAGAAATAATGGAAAAATAATTGAAGTGCATTAGAATAATGCCTGTTGAAATATGTAGTGGGAGTGTTCAAAATGTTAAAGATGCTTCTTCAGTTGGTCTATCCAAATACAAACATAAGCAGGATAACCCGTTTCAACCTGTCCTTTTAGATTGTAATAACTTCTATTTTTAGCTAAAAATAATTGAATTTGAGATTTTGCTACAGATATGTCTGCTAGCCATGTTAACTTAGCTGTCATGTTCCTATCTGGTCTTTTTTTTCCCCTGAAGTGTTTACCATATAGTGTAAACACTGAGAATTTCTTCTGGTGTTGAGAATAACAGCAGGCATTGTGTGAGCTGCTGGAACCATACCTGACTCTGCCACCTGGAGTTTGCTGCTTTGAAATGAGTCACTTAACCTGAAATGGGGAAATTTGCAGTAGCATTCTGTTTTTCCTAAACAAGAGGAATGCAGGTAGTTGCTTAGTTATAACAATATAATCTCCCGCAAATTTAAGCATTTTTATGGTGTAACTTTTAAGATGTGCTAAAGCAGAGAGCAACACCCTTCAAGATAACTGCACTGAGATTTGCAGATGAACCTTGATATTAAAGTATTTTTAAATATCTTCACATTTCTATGTCTTTCCTTCGATTGCCTTTCATATTAAAAGATAGACTGAAAAACCTGCATAACTTTCAGGATGTTTTCCTTTCTGAGACGGGCTGTGATAGGTCACAGTTTCTTGCTTGGCACAATCTACACAAAGAAAATTCATCCTATCAGATCAAGGCTGCCTGTTATCTTAAGAAACAGGATACTGAATACAGCTTGGTGGTTGATGTAAGAAGGGGATGTTGCTCATGGTGAATATCACATTAAATATTTTTGCAGTTGTATTCAGTTGTAGTAATACTTAATGGTAAAGAATTTGATTCTTCCAGAATAAATATTCAGGGAAGAAACTTTTCTCACAGAATAAGCATGCATCATAATTAGCTTTTGAAATACTTTCTGCATACCACTGATTTTTATGCGACACTGTATCTGGTGTACAAATTAAAATAAAAGTCAAAAACCTTTACAATACTTCAGTTAAACTTTCTAATGTAAAGCAGTATTGTCTTGAAAGTTTTGGGTCTTTTCAGTACAAAAGCATTCACGTATATTTCTATACTAATGAGCATTTTTCCTTCTCCCACCTCCTTCCCCTGCAATTTTTAAGGGTTTCATCTTTGGCTTGTCAGATGGACATTAAGCGACACTGAGTGTTAACTGCGAGATCTCTATAAGCACAGCGGCTGCTGGGATGTTGCGACAGAACGGTGGAAGTAACAAGCGTGGTTTGGGATTAGCCCGACTGTCTACCTCCAACTTCTTCACCATCTCTAATTCAGGAAATTGGGGAATGGGGCGCAGCACCAAGAGCAGCTCTCTGAGCAGCATTAGCTCCAACTCTGACTGCTATGATAATCCTGTTGTGGATCCAGAATATATCATGCAACTGGTGAATGATGTCAGAAAATTTGCAGATGTGCTACTCTATTTGAAGGAAGCTATTCTTTCAGAAGGTGTGTCAGTTGTTCTTTATTCTTAATTTGTAGATTTTTGAAACTCTCACAACTCCATATGTTTTTAAGTAGTCTTTACTGTGGTTATTCCCCCTTGCCCTTTACCTTCCCCCTTTATCCTCCCATCCTCCCCCTTCCCCTCCCCCAGCATGATGATTAACGGGAAATGGTGGCTGTTCATTTGGGTTCTGTATTTCCTCACCAGAACACTGTGCAATCTGTTTCATAATCATAACAAGAGAAAATAGGTTTTTAGCAGACTGTCTAGGCTGAGGCTAAAAGTTAGTGAGACAATCAACTGATTAGTTTTTAACTACCTGAATGTTTTTTTTGTAATTTCAAATAATTCTGTTAATAATTTGCTGATGTTTCAGTATTCTAGGCTGTTTTGCCTTGGGGTTTGGAAGTCTCACACACAGTAGTTTGAGTTTTAAGGTAGAATGTAACTCTTTGCTCTTTCTTCCTCTACAAGGTAAGTATTTACCATCTTCTGCCAGCAGGTGGAAACTGCAAATTTTCTTGCCTGTGAAGAGCATGCAGTATTGTGTGTTCCCGTTTCTTTAGGGAAATGGTATTAGTCCGTTTCTGGTTATCAGCAGGAAAGCTTCTATCTAACTTCTACAGAAATGTTATCATGTTAATAGCTGAAATGACATCCAGTGCAGTTTTGTGTAAGATGTGGGTGCTGAGCATTTGCAGTGGTCTCTGTGTTCGAAGTGAGTGCATGTAGCTGAAATAGCTCTGCCAAAAGGTGTGAACAAATCTTAACAGAGCAGTAATTTGAGACTAGTGATCACGTCGTGTCCACAGTGGTTTTGGTGAGCACATAGGATGAGCAGAGTTGTTTGTGAGGTGGGGTGTCTGGTGCCTACTGACACTGAAATGGACATCCTGTAGGAAAGGACTATCAAAATACTGAAGTGTTCCAGTTGCCACGCACCAATTAATGTTCAGTTTAAAATTGTTGACTCAGAAGATCCAAAAATCTAACATGGAAGACAGGGCTTGTCTTCTTGTTTTATACTACATTGTGGAATCAATTTGTGAACCTGTGTTGTCCATTTAAAGAATACTTAATTTATAAAGGGGAGATGTTTCTTTTCCATAGTTAAGTGTTCCTTTTGACCCGTATCCCCAAAATCTTATAATATAGTGAGTTCTATGGTATTGGGCTTGCTTTCTGCTGGCTGGAGACAACCTCCTGAAAGCTGCATAGTTTGGATTGCATTTCTCCATTGTATTTATTTTTGGAAATGTTTACAGTTGTCTGTCTAAAAATCAACAAAAACTTAAGGTGATTGAACAGACTTCTTACACATAAAATCCTGGCTCATAATGCTTGCAGCTTACCACCCTGAAATGAATTACATTAATTATTCCAAGGGGGAATCCATTGCAGAGATAGGAAATGAATTTCTTCCTTTGTGGACAACATTAATCTGTTGACTTGATGTAGATTTTGTTCAGTAGTAAAACTTTGCTCTATAGTTTATGATATAAGAACTAAAAATAAATTCTGCTACTAGCTACAGGAAAAAAATATTTTGATGTGCATATGCTTCATGCATCTTCAAGGAGTTCGGGAGTGGGAAATACAGTGGTGCAACAGGGTTGCATCAGTGAGCTCTTATTTGCCTCATAAGTGTTCTAGAGTCTGCTGTAGGTCTCTGCCTCGTAACCACTGTTCCTTCAGCTTCTATATCTACTGTTAGTTGTCATATTGGTCTAAAACTCCAGGCAGATTGGTCTAAAAACTCCTTTGTATGCAGAGTAACTTCACTCTTGACCGTGTGGCTCCCTGTTCACCAGGGCCAGCTGTTCCATCACTGGGGTCTGTATCAGTGGGCAGGCTGATTCCCGTGGGTGCGTGCCTTGAATGTCGTACCCACTGATGGTTGTGTTCCCTGCTTGTGCTATCTGAGCTGCCTTGGAAGAGCCTAGCAGTTACTCACCCATGAACGTTCATTTAACATTCCCTTGATGTGGTGATGCTATCTTGGATGAAAAAGCTATTTTGGATTTATAACATATTCGTGTCTAAACTAGATCATAACTGCCTTTGGATTATAGACTCCTACTGTGTTTTGTACAGTACCAGTGCAAGTCGATATATAACCTGAAGAATAAGTTGAGATCTCTTTTAAGGGGGGGAGTGTTATATAACTGAAATTTTGTGTAGATTTCAAGGATATTTCTCTTTGCATTACTTATGCTAATATAATTACAGTAGTGTCCTTGTTATAATGCTGAATAAATTTTGGATATTACTTTTCAACAGAGGTAAACCCAGCATTGTAACTTACTTTGATTATTTTCAGACTCTCACCCAACAATGCTGCATAAACTTAAATCTGAAAAACTGGGAATCTCCTTGCTGGCACCAAGTAGGAAACTTGTTTCTTAATGATTCTTCATATGAAAAACCAAAACACCCCTACCAACCCCCAAAACCCCAAACTCACAAACAAAAAACCCTCTGAATGTAACCATAGAGTTGAAAAGTTCATCAGCTGTTTGGACGTGAAGGAACTGCAGTTGCTTCTTGTGTTGAGTGAAATACCATATGTTCCATCCACTTTAGTTCTTGCTGTCTTTTTTTTTAATTCCCTTTTGAATCTAGGCATTGTACTCGCTGGATGTAACGATCTTATTAGTAATCCAACTTGAGACATAGGATCAAGATACTTTACCAATATTTTCATTAAAGAAGAGGTCTGGAGATTTTTTTTTTTTTTTTGAACTGAGGTCAGCGAATCTAATGCTGTTTCATAACAGATTTTTTGTTTTGAATTTACTTGATGACAGGCTGAACCTGTAGTAGTTGAACTGCACAAACAGTACATCAGTCTCTTGGTCCAGTCTTCAGTTATATTTCCAGATGAGCAAGATTGTCATATGGCTGATAGTAAGGATAGTTATATTAGCATCATGTCTTTGTGTTTGAACTGAAAGGTCATCTTCATTTGTAGCATTTGTACTTTATGAATTCAGAGATAATTTAAATATATTGGGGAGAGTCAAAATAAATCAGTCTCCTTTCTGATAAGAAGAAAATGAAAACAGTTCCTGAGAAATCCCTGCATGGAAAGCCAAACATGAGAGTATATGCTGAATTAATACCTAGAAGTCTCAGATCATTACCTGCAATCTGTGCTACTCCTAAGACTGTTCATTTGAGTTTTCAGTTTTATTGATGACATTCTGTGTTCTTGATGTACCCCAAGTTTAGTTCTTTTTTCGGTTTTAATATCCATCCTAAGTCCAAATTGTTAAGACATAACGGCTTGAAAGCTGGTGACTTTTCTCTTTGTGTTTTGAGTTCCAGTAGTAAATTTTTAGCTAAGTGTTGAGAGTATGAGAACCAAATTGTTGCCTTCAAGTTGTTGCCTTCCTCTTTGAAAAGGTAGGACATACAGCGAAGTACAATCTCAGGGCTGGGGCTATCTGTGATCTTCAGAGGTAGTGTCACTTAAGAGAAGTAACTTTCTCTGATAGAGAATGTTTTAGGAACTGAGAAGTTGTTTGCCTCCCATGGAGACCTGCCGAGGGCTTAACAACCTGCCCACAGTATTCAAAATACTTAAGAATTCAGAGTGTGTGTAGTATATTTAAGGTAAATCCTGTAATTTGAAGAGGTTACTTCTTGTCCCAGAACATGGGTTAAATGTGTCTGCAAGTGAGTGCTCTTGAATTTTGGGGCTGGGTGACTTCTACATGGATAATATGTTCTTTTGGAGAATAGAAGATACAGGGTAACTGCTATATACTGTCCAGTCTGTTCAACATTTAAGGATGACTGTACTTCATAGAAGTTGTATGTAGAAAGTATATAAGCCACTTTTGGGACAAAACATGCCAGACCTACCTCTTAAAAATGTCTATTAGAATTTCAGTTCAAAAGTAATGTTGCTTATTACATAGATAGGCAAAGCTGAAGATATATTTAAGGATAGGTATTTATGTATGAGATTTAGTGACACTACAGTCTGGGCTGTTACTGTATATAATAAATTCCACTGTTGCTTTAAGCAAATGATGCCACTGTGTGGTCTCTGCTTAAATGAGATTCATTTACTCAGGTTTAAAAGGACCACACAAAAGAGTATTTAGGACACAGTCTGAGTTCCTAATTAGAATATATTTTACTAAGTGTTTCACTTTCAAACAGTAAATAGTAGCTTTTACTTGTATCACATCAGAGATGAGGGAAACATTCCTGTTGCCCTAGTCTGAAGGTAGCTGCTAGTTTTGTGACATCTGCTTTTTTTTTTTTTCGTAAGGAATGTAATGTATGCTTCATACTGTAAGGTCTGCCCTTGGGACTGTGGGAAATACTGTGTTTCATTATGAATAGCTGTAAGGGTAAAATTTGCATGTGGCTTAAAAGTGCAGGAGTAATTATACTTTATACTTTAATACATAATTTTCTTGACTGTGCTTCAGAATATGTTTTGCAATTATTTCTTGCTTTATCACAAACTTTGAAGTAATCTTCAAAGTGTGATATTGTGTGCTTCATGTGGTAATTCTGCATTCTTCTAATGAGCGAAAACCTTTTTCAAGTTCATCCTATCTTTGACTAATGTAAATTGTAGCTTATTCTAAACTGTTAATATACCCTTTTTTTCCAGGTATTTTAGGAATCAGAATAGTAAGATAAAGCTCTTACCTTTCATCCCAGATTTCTCTTCAAGCATCAGATTTTGCTCTCTGTTTTCTTAGAGTTTGATAAGATTTTTTTTTTTTCTTTTCCCTTTAAGTGAAGTAGAGGTAAAAATACTAGTTAAGCTGGATGGCCTGATCAGGAATGTATGCATCCTCTTTATAGCAGCACCAATACTTTCAAAAGGATCAGGAATGCTACCTAACTTGAAACCTGTCAGGTCACTATTTTTGAAGGATAAGAGATTCAGCCCAGTGGGACAATTTCACAGGTGTGTCAAGTTAAATAGTTTCCTCAAAATAAGGAATTTGTAATCTCTAGTGACTCTTAAAACCTT